CTCTGCCGCTCCCCCTCCGCCGCTCCCCCTCCAGGCGCGTTTCCGATCGATTCCCGATTGGAATCGATTACGTAATCGATTCCAATCGGGAATCGATCGGAAACGCGCCTGGAGGGGCCAGTGAGCAGATCACAGGCGCGTTTCCGATCGATTCTCGATTGGAATCGATTATGTAATGGATTCCAATCGGGAATCGATCGGAAACGCGCTTGGAGGGGCAGTGATGCAGGGGGCAGTGATCTGCATCACTGCCCCCTTGACTCCCTTTGCTCTCGAGTGAAAGCATTTGTTGCTCAGATTTGTTGCTCCCTTCTGAGTCTTGTCCTCACTTCATAACCTTGTCGAGGGGCCTGCTTCTGAATACTTGTTGTTTGCTGCATGTAGAGCTCACTTTCTCCTCCCCAAATCAGAGGCACCGGGACAGGGTAGTGGCACTGATCACTTTCCCCTGCGGGCGTCTCCGCGAGTCATTTCCTTTTTGTCTTCAAGTTCCGTTTTTTTCCAGAATTGACAAGGCTCCATCTGTTGGTGGGGAGCAACACCTGCTGTAAACGGGGTCCGGCGTCCCTGTGCAATACAATGTCACAGGTGTCCATGTAAGCTCATGGTCTGTTTTTGCGCATGCACAACGGTCATTCTACTGCTATCCCAGACCTCCAAACTTGTTCTGTTGACCCAGTGGGTGCCTCCGCTCCCCCTCCTCACCGCCCCTGCTGCTCCCCCGCCTCCCTCTACTCTGTTGCCCTTCGCTAATTTGTTTCTCTTTCTCCTTGGCAGGTGTTCTGCAATACACTGGGTGCCTACATCGCCTTCTACTACACCACTTTCATAACAAACCGCCAGATTTCTGAGGGTGTTCAGTCTTCGCCCCTCCCTCCTGTGGCTGGTGGTAGTGTCTTTAACCCTTCTGCGCAGATGGGTGCGCCTCGTAATGTGCCGCATCCTGTTGGCAGTGTTTTCCTGTCCTCTTCGCAAATGCCTGGTCCTGGTCTTGCTCTGGTTCAGCAGACACCGGCGGTGTCCCAGGTGCGGTCTGCGAACACCAATAGAGGACCTTCAAACAGGCAATCTCATGAGGGACCCTCACATCGGCAGCCCTTAGTGCTTCTCAATACAAGCATGGCTGCACCTAGGCGACACCCTACGCAGTCCGTAGGACAACAACAGCAGCAACGGCAGCAGCAGTCCCAAAAAAGGAAGAAAGGCATGGCCAGGCCACCTGCTGCAGACGACCGCACTCCAGAAGGGCGACACAAAAAGGCTCGCAAGGGAAGCGGGGGATCTGGTTATAAGGGGAAGAGATCCGCAGACACTGCTACAACTGCCGTGGATCTTGAACCAGAGTCTGCGGGAATGACACCTCTTCAGAGGATGCGGAGCAGGCTTGTTACCTTGAATGCGAAGAAGGTAACTGAAGATATCTTGAGTTTGCCAATGTCTTGTATGGACCGACCTCCAGTGGACACTGCCGATGGGCGAAGATAAAGGGAGGTCGGATTCCCTGCAGAGTACCATGTTAGGGTCCTCATGGCGTCTATGGAGAGGGCTCCCTGTGGGGACCACTTGCCTTGGGTGGGCATGATTGATCCTGCCGAGTGCACAACTGTTGATCAGGTGGACCTGCMGAAACTTCGCTCAGGCGGCTACACCATCTGGATTTTGGGCAGCGGTCACTGTCGTGAGGCACGGAGCTGTTTGCTGGTGAAGCACCCTCAGGTTGACTTCTACAAGTGGAATGTCTGCTATGTGTACGTGGGACTTACTGTGGAGGAATCCCTGCTGATTGGCCATGAGCACAACAATGTTGCTGGATATCACAARAAGTTGACTTTCGTTCAGAGGATGCGCTGCTGGAGGGACGTCTTTGAGAGGATGGGGTGTGAGAAAACGCACGAGGCGAAAAGTGCATGCTTGGAGGCGCTCGGTATCCCAGCATTTTCATGGAACAAGATTGGTCCCCTGGATCCTCAGCTTCAGATTTGCATGAGAGGACCAGAGGTGTGGGCTTGCTCTCTGACATTTTCACTCTGTGGGAGCAGGCCAAGATCAAAGATGTGAAGATGAAGGAGGGCGTGGGTGGCAAGCAGGCCAGGTCTCTTGAGGTTGCTGAGTCAACTGCAGCTAGCAGCGAGGTGGGGAAAGGGAAAAAGGGCGAGGCGGGGAAAGGGAAAAGGGGTGGGAGACCAGGGAAACGAAATACAAAGGATGTTTCCCAGGAACGCCTTGCTCTCAGGGCGCTCAATCCTCTGATGTACGTGTCTGAGAAGAATGAGATAGTGAGTGAGCCTACAGATATGCCTTACAAGCCTCTGCTGGGGATGGCTGGGCTTGATGATGCTTTGGTGATCCCTGTTCTCACCGAACTTGAGAGCGGGGTCCTGTCGCTTGACGAGATGAACAACAAGTTCATGCTTCTCAAGATTCGTTAGAGGACAACGACTGCTTTTGTGGAAGGGGTCGGGGCAGACAGTTGGGAGACTGCCAAAGAGGAGTTCCCGGTGCATACGCAGGAGGCTATGCTGTTGCAGTACAATGGGCTGTATGAGACGAATGTCAAAGAGACTCCTATTGCTATGCAACTGTACATTGCCAAGGCCCTAAACTATAGGGACAAGCTGCGCCTTTCACAGCAGGAGGAGCAAACTTCAGCAACACAAGATCCTGAGGGCCTCCTGACAAACTGGACTGCTTTCAAGGGGGAGGGCTACAAGGGAACCGTGAAGGTGGAGCACTATGACATGCTCCAGCTGCCCGAGAAAGTGCACGACAGACTCCTCTTCACCTTGTGCATTATGGACTTCCCTTGCGGCTACAACGCAGAGGGTTCTATGGATGATGGGGAGCCGTTCAACAAGCCTCAGATAGAGGGCAGCATTGCGAGCTTCAAGAAGATCACATGTGCACCCTATTGGGTCATTGCTGGTTTCTGCTCATCTGACATGCTCACTGATGTGAAATCCGCATTCTCAAGTGCTTGCAATTGTGAGGTGGAGGTGGGCATTTGGGTGGCTCCCAACGTTTCTACTTCTGCAGGTCTCAAGCTCACTAACTGTTGGCAGCATTGTGTTCTTGGTTTTCATAGTGAGAGCGGCTGCAGGGAGCTCATTCAGTTTTAGTTCAGCGACTCTAACACCAGGATGACCTGCTGGAGTCACAATGCGGTGGTGAGGAAGTACACTTTTACTGCAGACAACGAGATTTTGTGCCCCTACCAGAAACCCATTTCTTTGTATGAGTGGCTGATCAATAAGTTTTGTGACCCGAATGACCAAGAGACATGTGTTGGTCGTTGAGAACGACCTGCGTTGTGTAAGGGGGATCAGGGCAAGGTTGGCAGGGAGAGGCTTCGTTGAGAGTGCCGCCAAGGAGATCGATACTCACGGCCGCACAGTGGCAAAGGAATGGCGGCGCGCCTGAGGCTTCGAGGCATGCATGAGTTGATGCGGACCCTCCACTCGGTCTACGTAGTTTTGATTGACTTGGCTGTGGCGTGCTTGCTTCGCTACTAAGACATTGGTGCCTTTGCGGTGGTTGTGTTGTCTGTAGGCTCTGTTCGATCATTAGTCTCTTGCTATGTATGAGTTTGTTCCCCCATTGTTGCCTACTACATGGGAACCTGTCCACCTACTCTTCGTGGTTTGCTTGGATGACTGTTGGCGCTCTACATGATTGTTAGGACTTGCGGCATGGGCGGCTTATTCCACGTCGTACTTGCAATGAACTGAAAAATTGGCAGCTCAGTCAACTCATCTGATTAATTAGTGTGTTGCTTATTTGAGGGGCACCCTATTCCAAGTGTTGTCAATTGGGAATTGGTTTCTTTGCTCTTTTGTCCTATCTAGAGTCCGACCACTTTTTGTTTCTTTTATGTTCTCGCGGTTGTGTTCCTTGACGACTTCAAGTTTTCTGCAAAACTATTATGCTGTTGAGGTCGCTTCTTCGGGTGCCTTCATTTTTTTTTAATAAATCTGTTTCCTGCTTTGTTGCAAAGGTTATTGGATCGTTGGGCTAACTGTGTTTTTGAACATAACAGTTTTTTGTTGTCTTGTTGTGACACTTAAACCTGAGGTCAAAATCTTATCGTAAAAACTAGTTTTTCGAAGAATGTATAGCATAATTTGGCAAACTAGACGTTTGTTTCGGTCCAGTTTTCACGAAGTACATATTTAACATGCACTTCGTGAAAAGTGGACATTTCATGAAAACTAGACCGGAGTCAAAAACTTTACGTTGATTTTTTAAAGAATTAGTTTTAGGGCTGTCACACAGGACATTCATTGGTCATTGTCACAAACATTATGGCATAAACTTATATTTTTGGTCAAGCAACGGGACAGATGAAACAAAAAAAAACAAATAACATGTTCTTGGTAATACATCAAAGTTGCGGGTCCGCTTTGCATAAGAAAAACTCTTTTTTCGGCAGTCATATTCACAAGTCCATAGTAAGTGAGGTAATTGAACACCATGCTTATCGAAGGAAAAACAAATAAGCGAACATTTCAATAACCAAAGCAAAATATGAACGATTGTAAAAACAAATCGCAAGTACACATAAGAAAAAAAAGTTCCCGTAACAAATTATGCAGCATTTACAAGAAAATTTCAATTTCGAATGTGCGGAGGTAAGGAGCACGAGCAAGAAATGTCATAACAAATACAATAATAAATAGTAACATTGCAGTCTACTTTTTCGAACTCCTAAGTGAGGCAAGAGATACATTTTCGTCCTCATCATCCTCTCCATTAACTACGCCTATACAGTCTGTAGTGTCAATCTCCTCCAAGGTCTTGTAATTGTGTCTAGAGTATTTGTAAACAGTCCTCGACCTGCTTTCAAGCAGAAGTTATAGCACAAAACTCCACAGTCCCATGCAAAAGTTTGTTCTATCGGTCTGCTTGTCACACGTTCTCGTGAATCCGTATAGTTAAATGAAAAATATTTACCATTTCCATTTTCCGCATACCAGTGACCTATAAACTTCTGCTCCTCTAAGACTCGTTTTACTTTCACTATGAAATAAGGTTTTTCATGCTCCTCTTGGTCTCTCCTTGCCCTAACAGCCACAAATGCACCCTCCTTTAGGTCCTCGAAGCCTCCTCTTTGACGTCTTTCTATGCCCCACATACAGTGGTCTTTCAGGAGGATTGATATCTCCACGTATCATCTCAGCGTCTGCAGGTCAGTCGGCCGGCATGTCGGAGCTGTCTGAAACGGAGGAGTCGCCACGTGGCCAAACAAATGGATGTTGCAGGCAGGTTGTGTCGAAGTCCATATTCTCTTGTTCAGCGAGAAAATGTTACCACCATGCAACGACCTCATCATTGGTATATTTGGAAAATGCTTTCACATTTTCATGTATTCCCGCCAATGATAATATTTTATCGATACTTGTTTTCTCCTCGGAGGCTTTGATCCGCTCATCCATGCTTCGCACAACATGACATGGAGCTGCATGCACACTTCCGTCCGGAAATGTCTTGAAGATATCCAAGCCATAGGTATCTTGCGGGTGCCATGAYGATGTACAAAAYTGCCTACTCCAAACAGCAACAGCTCCAGCAACATTTCTCTTGATACGGAAGTGTTGATTGAAACTGATATCATGAAGAGGTGCCAAGTGATCCTTCACATAAGCTTTACAGTCGTAAACTTCAAACACCCGCTCAACATGGACACCTGCATATTTCGTGGACGACTGTCTGATGACTGTCTCCAGTGCAGGGAGGTCATAAGCATCCCTACGCGCAATGGCTCTAGAAAAGCAGCTGAACATCTGATCAATATTCTCATGTGGGTGACCCACCAAAAGGAAGTTGAGCTTCATTTTCTCGAAAACCTTCATGTGGACTAAGTACACAAGGTAGGTCAAAACGAATTTGTTTTTGTTCTCTCTTGATGTGTTGTCGAGAGTCAAAAACAACACCTTCAGCAAAGGTTTTGGCAGATCCGAAAGAACTCTATGAAGCACGGTAAGCATGGAGTTTGTGTCATTGCTAAAGTTGTCGAACATCATCATGGCGTACGCTCTGTGCAGATGTCCTTCCACCTTTGCACCCACAACATATACCTTCAAAAAGTCCGCCTCCCTAATTCTCGAATCTTTCGGGATACGATAAAAATGAGGAAGATTGGTCTTGCTTTGATCCATCCCGTTAATAATAACAGCTACATACTTCTCCGGTGACGACTTCGCCTTCAGTCGGCGGTCCATCAGTTTTTGTCTCTCCATCCTCTGCGCTTCAAGATGGCAGCCCAACATTCTTGGCAATTCCTCTGCAGCAACAACAAGAAAGACAAAATATGTCATCACAAGGAGGCAAATGATAAAACCGACAACAAAACAAAGAAATCCCAAAACAAGGTAGAGGAAGACGAGGGCAGTATGCAAAATGAGATGCCCACCTTTTTCGATGGGTGAAGTAGCTCTCCCACGCTGCAGCTTTAGCTGCGCACACTGGGCGCAAATGGAGAATCTGTTCGTAGCCGGGATGCAAACCTTGGAGCAGCGTTCTGTCCACACGCTTGTAAAGAATGAAATTGAACGGACCACATCATCAGGATGCAGGCGGCGGAAATGAGCGACGAAAAATTCATATACTCCACTCTTTGTTAGGCAATCGGTGAGATGAAACCTATCGGTGYTTGGYATGGACTCCGTGTTCATGCYGAAGTAGGTCTTCATCCAYGYGTACACAGCCATGTACCTCACAGATGGGCAACGACTGCCAGAATTGCCATGCACGTAACCATGCACGTTGTCACGAATCGCGGCACGCACCCTAGCAACTCGCRTCTTGGATAGTCCATATAGGYGGCCCCATGCAGTCGAGCAGACAAATCGACTCGCGAAAGCGAGACGCAATGTCAGCAGAGTGCCATCRGCGTTGTRGGTYGACACCTTTCTCACCTCCTGTATCAAGAACTCCATCTGTTGAGGCTGTTTCATAGCCTAGAACTTGCTTCTTACATCCAGCACCTCCTCCAAACRGATTGTATTCACGCAACTCCTCACACAGCAGCCACCATGGAGAGCCGCACARGCAGAGGTGGCTGTAATGAGCACACTCGCCTTTTTGTTGCGGACAYGCCGATTTGCGTTCCTCKTGCCGAGAATGTACTGATGCTTWCGCCCGAATTTTGTGTAAATTTYTTTACCCTCACGCCYAGAAACACCATCACCATAGTTGTCTCCATCGCCCTCCTSGGTACAACCAGAGTCTTCGAAATTATAAAYGCYAGKAGAAGGCGGAAGATCCTTAAGCTCGAGGAAAGARAAAMCAGGGATGGCGCCGGTCTGCAAGGGCTCGCAGAACACTCTTCTTCTTTCAAGTACCAGCGGATCAGAGAACAGAYRTTTRATCCGTTCCACGTACCGTAGCTTGGTCATCCATCACGAAGCATCGATGCACAAATTTGTCGCCAGCAGCAAGGCAGAATCGCCAGGTCTGTCTTGACGACAACAAGAATCACTAGACCACGCACACGAACCTGTCCCGTCACAATGACCAATTGATAAACGAAAGAAGGAGTCGGGACACGACAAGTGTGAGACAGAAGTGAAAAAACAGTCAGGACCCGACARACTTCGGCTAGTGACTTCCACGCACCCGCCCACCAGCACGGAAGGAAGTCGAAACCGTCGGGGGACACGCCCCTAAACTCTTTGCGAAATCCCGCCCAAGCGGGAGGGAACCTCGTCAAATTTTCACGCACTTTTCAAACATTTTTCGGCACCCGAGTTCCCGCCGAAACCGGAAGGCGAGGCAAACAGACCACGCACGGAAAGCGCATCAGAGGATGACAAAAAACCCAACTAATTCATTTTGCAACTTTGGGACCCCCGAAGAACACGTGGAGGATGCACGGAGGCGACAAAAATTGCCAGGCCCCTCCTGACGATAACAAAGATCATCAGACCACACACGCGACACCGTTTCGACACAATGGCCAATTGACAAGCGGRAGAAAGAGTCGGGACCCGACATGTGTGAGACARGAGTGAAAARAACAGTCGGGTCCYGGCAAGCTTCGGCRACTGACTTCCAGGCGCCCACCCACCAGCACGAAAGGAAGTCGAAACCGTTGGGCAACGTGGCCCTAAATGTTTTATGAAATCCCGCCCAAGCCCGAGGGAACCTCGTCAAACTTTCGGGCAATTCGCACAAATTTYCCGAAGCCCAGTTCCCGCCGAAATCGGAAGGCRAGGCCTGCAGCAGAGGCATGCCAGTGAACWACCCACGAAAAGCACGAAGTCACCGGCTGAACACTCGCGCGGGARCCCCAAATCCGCAAAACACAAGGATTTCAGAAGGGCCGATTCGAGGTTTCGGGCATGGTTCGAGTCACAGCGATGCACCGTTTCAGACGGGACAAGTGCACACCGCTGCACCGTTTCAGACRGGATCCRGCACCGGGACAAGGCCGGCAATAGGGGCACGCCKCTCCYCCTCCGCCGCTCCCCCTCATCACCACGGGAACACAGGCAGGCCGTGAAGATCACCACCGAAGCCGAACACYAGCAGGCCGCAGCCCGGGAAGGCTTGGGGCAGTTTGAGTTCGGCCTGCCTKTGTTCCCTGCTGTCCCAAGGTTTCCCAAGSYGCGAAGGCCACCACGGAAGGCTAAGAAAGGCAGGCYGCARRGAAACTACCGGAAKCCRCGCCAAGAGGGAAAAAGCGGCGCCAAGAGGGAAAAGGCGGCGCYAAGAGGGAAAAMGAGGCGCCGAACCKGYAGCAGTTTGAATTYRAACGRRCAGTGKGCGACGRGGGRGGACCAGCTGCAGCGCRAGAGCCTGGGTGCAAGTGGGAGAGCYTGTAGCGGACGCGGGGGGTCTAGAACCGRGAAAYAACAGTAGMGCRAGAGCCTGGGTGCAAGTGGGAGAGGAAGGTCTGTGGAAGCGAGGGGGAGGGAGCACGAGCGTTGCCTCAACAAGCGYCGACGAGGGARGAGCAGCTGCCAGGGAAGRGGAAGGAAGCCATGGCCGGGAGACGGGCGAGAGGACTGCTAGACGCCGAAATGGACGAYGSGGGTACCCTCGACCTCTCCCACTCGCTGAATGCCATGGCCACTCACATCGAGGGAGAGGAAGACATTGAAGACGAGGAGGAGGAGGAAGAGGAGGAAGAAGAGAATGACGACTCTGGGGACGAGGAAGAGGAAGGGAACGAAGAAGACGCGCAGCGGAAGAAGGAGAACCATCCAATGGAGAACGTGTCCGGAACGGCGAGAGTGAACTATCCGCTGGCGTTCAAGTACCTAGAGGAAACATACACGTCAGTGCAAACACGTTTTGAGATGAAGCCGGACTTTGATCTCCTAGGGTGTAAGTGGGCTTTGCAGCCCACAGAGTAGGGGTTGTTCTTCTACCGTTATCTTACGAGGGCATGCAAATACGAACCTGTGGGTCTTTGCATTTGGGTTGCGAAGACCACAAGAGTTGAAGACGGACAAGAGGTCCACTTGACGAATCTGTGGACAGAAAGGAAGAAGGTAATCGCGAGATACGTCCTACAAAAGAAAGACTACGCACGGGATGCTTTCCAAGACCCGAATGGAGTACTGCATCACAAGCTCCAAACAGCTCCCGACGAGGTAAGACATGTGATCAAGCATATGATCCAGATTGATTGATTCACTCAAGATCTTTGTCCTTTGCAGGTGCGTCCGCGACGTGATTCCCGATTGGAATCGATTACGTAATCAATTCCAATCGGGAATCGATCGGAAACGTGCCTGGACGGGGTAGTGATTTGCATCACTGCCCCCCTCCACGCCCGTTTCTGATTGATTCCCGATCGGAATCGATTACGTAATCGATTCCAATTGGGAATCGATCAGAGACGGGGGTGGAGGTGGCTGATCCCCACGCCCGTCGCCATCGCCGCTCCCCATCCGCCGCTCCCTCC